CAGGCAAAGTCTCTAGTCATGAACAAAATGCAGATAAACTTTCTGCCAAGCCATAACACAGATTGTCTGAAATCCAACAGTCAATGTAGTCCTTCCCAGCAGAAACCTCCCATGCCTGGTCTTTACCAGCAGAATTTCTATTAGCCTTCTGGTTTTCTGAGCCTGATCAGACTCTCCCATACAGTAGCCTAAGGTGTTCCAGCTCTAATTTTTCAGCCAGAATCTCCAAACCTTTCTACAGTCTTCCCACAAGCCAATCCCAAAGTCTCCTGAACCACGTGGTCAGGTGTAGTTACAACAAGGATCCCACTCCTGGTACCAAATTCTGTTTTAGTTACAAATCCAGAATTGAGATTGCTGAATTGTATGGTAAGTTTGATTTTCTTGAGGGATTTCTGTAGTGTTTTCTAAAACAGCTACAGCATTTTACATCTCCACCAACGGTGTATAAAAGTTATAATTTTTCAACATTACCACTAAAATTTATTGACACTTTGCTTCTAATATTATGTGTCTGTGAGGTTCAGAAAATTACTGCTGAGTAACAACTTGTCCTGAAACTTAGCAAGCTTAAAACAGCAAGCATTTATTATCTCATACAGTTTCTGAGGGTCAGGAACTAAGAGCAGCTATACTGAATGGTTCATTCAACCTCCCTTCCTTATCAGTCCCAAACAAGGAATCATTTGCTTTCTGTCACTACAGATCAGCTTAGATTTCCTATAACTTTGTATTAGCAGAACTATATCATGCACATGTGTATTTTCTTGTGTTCAGCATTTAAAAAAATCTTTGTTTGAGACAGAATTTTGATATGTAGTTCAGGCTAACCATGAACTCACTTTGTAGCCCAGGTTGGCCTGGAACTCATAGCAATCTCCCTGCTTTAGCCTCCTGAGTGCTGGGATATTACAGGTGTGCACCACCACTCCTAGCCTCAGCATGTTTTGAAGTTAGACTTCCTCTCCTTCTCCCTCTTTCTGTCTGGCAACAAAGTCTTGCTATGTAGCCCAGACTGGCCTTTAATTCATGATTCTCCGGTATCAGACTGGGATTGTAGGTGTGTGCCACCATGCCTGGGTAAAATTTTGTATATAATATTGTTATAGTTTGTGTGTGAATGTCCCTCTCAAAGCCTCATACAATCACGGGGATGGGCTTTTCAGAGGTGGCTACATTTGTGATGGATTCATGACCTATGCTATGATTAAGGTTGTGAGTGCTACATCCTCTCTAGGCTGATAGCCTGCATACAGTATAAGGCACAGCTCGTTCCCTCCTCTCATATTGCTTTTGCTGTCTTCTGCCACATGAACAGTTGTCCTTTTGCCATGAGCCAACCTTAAATATTCAGCAGTATTTGGGGTAAAACCTGAAGCCTTGAGCATGCTAGACAAGTTATTATAGAGAGCTGAGCTGGGTAGAAATATTACAGCAGCCAGACAGGGATGGGCCTTGAGAGAATCAAAACAAAGGGTAAAAACCCACTATACCTGTGGCCAGAGACATCAGATAGAGCCCAGCCAAAAGATAAGAGCAAAAGGACCAGACTTACCTATCCCCTCCCTGGGGGCAAGGTAAGTGCTAACAGCTGGTCTAAATAGGCATCCAAGACCCCAGATCCCTTAGTTACCGGAGAAGTTCTTTGATCTATCCATGCCCTTTCGCTATGTGGTTTGCTTCTCCATTGACTCAATATTACTCAGGCAGCTATGCTTATAATTTTATTGGTTGATTATAGCCCACATTGTACTCATGTGAGTATTGCTCTATAAAATTTCCCTATAGAGGGGAATCCCTGGCTATGCATTCCAGACCCCTCCTGATCCACCGACAGGAGCTTTTGATCTCTCAATAAATATTTCCTACTCTTAACCTCTGTTGTTACTAGAACTCATACTTTGAGTTTCAGAGAACACAAACTCGGCATGTCAGACATCTAACAGGTTGGGAGATATAATATTTGTCTTATTTCATATTTGGAGTTTCTGATATCATCCCCATAATGATACCACTGAGCCCCAGGAAGGCTAGTCTTTTGTTTTTTCATCTAATGCTACTCATTTTTTTCTTTTGTACTGGGGAACTGAACTCAGGACTTTGCACTTGCCAAGCAGGTGCTTGTACTGCTGAGCTAAACCCTGGCTCTCGAGTGTGTAAGTATTCTTATCCTTTTCATTGCTGAGTGTTGTCCTACCACAAGCTATTGTTTGTTCATGTTGTCTAGTGGTGTTTTGTTTGGGTTGGAGTCTCTGTGTTGCTCAGAGTAGCCTGGAACTTCCGGGCTCAAATGACCTGGCTATGTCAGCCTCCCAAATAACTGGGACTCCAGGTATGCACTGCCTTGTCAGGCTTCATACACCTGTTGGTGGATATTTGGAGAGTGATTTTAGAAGAGGGCAGTGATCAGGTCCTAGTTAAATACAGGGTGGGTTCAGTATAACCTTGAAGACCCCTTCCACCATAATCAGAAGGCAGGAAGAGGCCAGGTCCCCCAGGCTGGTGGATAGGATAGGAAAAGGTGGGGGTGGGTAAGCAGGCAGCAGCCAGGTCACGAGGCTGTCAGAGCATTAGCAGACTCAAGTTCTTGTGTTTGGATACCCACAGGAAACACAGGTACAGACAAGCTTTAACGGGCCTCTTGCTCCAGGCAGAAGGATCTCTCAGCACTGACACAGGACAGCTCAGGCCAGTATTCTCTGAACAAAAGGAAAAGGATAGCAAAATGGAAAACATGCCTGCCAAAAGTTCCCATCTAGGTCCTCCATGCAAATAAAGGATCCAGACTTGCAGGGACTGTCTGGGCTCAGCGTGGACTCCTAGGCAAAGGCAGCCTTATAGGAGGCTGATCCTGGCATGGCTCCCAGGCAGTGTAGGATGAAAGTGGGATGTGTTTGCAGCTATTGTATTTTTAACTCTGGGTTGTGTGTCAGCCCTGGGTCCCCATTTATGTTCTTGTTTAGTTTGGCTCTGAAACCAGGGATGGGGAAAGGAATGGTCCCTGTAGGGCCCTACTCCCAGCATTTGATAGTTTTATTCCATTCTGAGTGGTCCCTGACCGTCTCAGTACCTCAAGGGGCTTGAACATGTGACAGTCAGTGGGCGAGTGTGGGAGTCGAGGCCTAGAATGGTCCAATCAGGAGGCCAGAGCAGGGCACTCAGTTCCGGGGTCACCATGATCCTTCTTCCATTTCTGGAAGCACAAGTAGGCACAAGTCTTGAATGGAGAAAGCTCCTCCTCCTGCTTCTAGTCACTCTGTAGTTAGGAAGTCCTCTGAGTTACTTGCATGCATGTGCCTGTGCACGCATGTGTGTATCTGTGTATGTTTGTGCAACAGGGCACAGGGAGATGATTTTTTGGGAAGGGCAGAGTGTGGCTCTGAGTCAGAAGGAAGGCGGCATCCCAGCAGGAAGCAGGGTATATGAAGGGGCTGTGGCCAGCAGAGGCCACAAGTTCAGATCTCCAGGTATAAACAGAGGCTCGTCAGGAGATCAGCTCCTGCTTCAGGCCGTGCCACCCTGATAAGAGATACATTCAGAGATGTCCTACATTTAATTACAGTGACCTAAGCGTGGAGGAGAGGAGAGACACGGGGGTTAATCAGTTTACCACTAAATGCAGAACAACCAAAACCATATTCAACAATGTGTGTTAAAACCTTAAGCCCAGAGTGGTGGCACACACCTGTAATCCAGCACTGAGAGGCTGAAGCAGAAGGATCACCTTAAAACTCAAGGCCAGCTAGCTACACAGTGAGTTCAAGTCTAGCCTGAACTACATAGTGATACCCTGCCTCAACAACAACAACAACAACGGCTGTGGCAAGCAACAAAGTCAGGGCTGAGATGCCACTGTATGCTGCTCACCAGCCAGCTGACTCTGAACACCCAGTACTTTAAGAACTGCCCTTCAATCCCAGAGCTTTCTTGGCTTCCACTGCCCCCTCCTCTTACCTAAGCCATGAAGGCTCAATCCGCAGCCACCCGAGTCTGCCTTCCCCAAGTTTTTAATGAAACTGTTCTTAGTTCTAGGTCCAGTGCCCTCTATCCTTGCTTCCAGAAGTTGGTAGAATGTCTCCCAGGACCTAGTCCTTTTTTTGGTGGGGGGAGGCTAACACCTGTCAAGGTCCAATAAATCCCGTTGCTTCAGTAAATTTGGTGTCGAGTTTTTGGTTGACTCCTCCAGTGCCTCAGTCCCCTGTAAGATGGGTGACATTCCATACTTGCTTAGGGTGGGCTGAGGCCCTCAGGACATTCCCCGTCCCTTCATGTCCATGCTGAGCGCCTCCCACCACCCCAAGATCCTGTGCTTCCCGGAGCCCAGCTCTCCAGGACACCTGTGCAGACTCGACATCCGAACAGCTAGGAGCATGTGGGAGACGGAGGCTGCGAAGGCTGACTCAACTCTCAGTAAAGTGCTTTTTCTTTTCTCTTCCTCCTTTTCCTCCCTCCCTAATTCCTCTCAAGAATCTGGGATCTGCCTCCCATCCCCTAAATTCCGAGGGCTGCATACTTCCGGCAGCCCAATTTGTCATCCCCAGCCCCAGGAACAGGGGTCCCCTAGGATCCTACAAGTGCTTTGGGGTCTGAAAAAGATAAATTCCCTCATACATCCCTGCGAGGCCAGGCCTTCACGGTCGCTAGGGCTGGGGAAAGGACCTGGGGCCCAGAGGGGCTGGATTGGTTGGTGGGCAGGAGGCGCGGTGGTCCCGCCCTCTGGTTGCCAGGGCCCAGCCAATCTGCATCCATACTGGCCTCGGTTTCCAGGTGGTTGCTGGTGGGAGTCGGAGCAGGTGCAGGAGAGTGTGAGAGGGAGGTGGGGGTCTTCAAGGGGTCGCCCCTCCAAGCCCCTCTGCTTGGGTCTCTGTGCTTGTCAGCAGCAGCCTCAGAAACCGGCCTCTGCCTTACTCTACCCCCAATAGCGGCCGCCCCTCCCTTCGGCGCGCGCCTGTGCCCGGCCCCTCCGCGCGCTCCCGCGTTTGGCTCCAGCGCGCGCGCCCTGGGCTCCCCCGCCCGCGGGCGAGGGGCGGGGCCGGCTGGGCTCCCCGGGCGCAGCCGTCTGCAGCCCCCTCCCCTCGCCTTCCCGCCGCTCCGGGCCGCGGCGGCGCTCGGGCCGGGCCCCACCCAGGATTTAGCGTGGAGCAGGGGAGCCCGAAGCCAGAGGTGCGCGCCGTGCGAGCAGGTGGAGGCGCGGGGCTCGGGGCGCGGGCCAGGGTCGCGCTGGGGGAGGGGTCGGACCCGGGCCCGGCTCTTTGTCTCCTGTAGCCCAATAGCGGGCAGCAAGGCCTCTCTTCCTCCCAGCAGGTGCTGGCATCCTCTGGGAGGCTGGGGAGGGCGCGTGCTCGGGTCCTGGGCTAGAAGAGCTCCAGGCTGCCTGTGGGTCACCGAGGTCCCTGGCGGGCGAAGCGTTAGGGGTGTGGATGTTGGTGTTGAAACGGAGCTGAAGTGAGCATGGGGGCCGACAGGGCACCTAGGCTTCGGAGAGAAGGCGGTAGGGCTGGGACTTGCGGATCTCAGGGAGCAGCCAGGCTGCTGAGTGGGTGTGGGTGATGCGAAGGAAGTGGATCCAGGCACCCATGGGTGGTGATGCTGGGGGAAGAAGCAGCGAGATGCCAAGATCCAGAGCCCAATAGGCACTGTAGCGGTCCAGGACATGATGTGCTGATCCATGGATCTTCTCTTCAGGTGCGGGATGGACAAGAAGGACAAGGCAAAGGCAGGGGGTGCCGCGCGGGCGCCGACTTCCCGCCCTCCGGGCCTCCCCACGCCTAGGCCCCCAGGGTCTCCTCGTCCCCCTCCTCCAGTAACTGCTGCAGCCCTTCGAGTTCTGGGAGCAGCGGGAGCTACAGGGCGAAGGTCCCTGGCTGAACGGGGTGGGGGCGTCGGTGGAGCTGAGGCTGCTGCCCGAGGGGGACCATCTCGGAGCACTGGTGCAGGTCCCCGGAGCCCAGGTACCCAGCCTCCTCCTCTATCCCATCCCATCTTCCTGCCCCTCCTTTCCTTCTGAGACACGCCTCCTTCGGAGGGCTCTGTGGACTTGACCTTCTCCCTGCAGCCTCCAGGCCCCCAACGGCTGGGAGAGGAGAGTGCCCCCCTGCCAAGACCTCAGGCCAGGCCTCTGTTTCTAGCCCAGCTCGTTCCAACAGGTAAGAAAGGCGCTCTCTTGTCTCAGCTGAACACAGCAATCTGGAATCTCAGCAAGAGGCTTGGTTGGGGACACTTGACCCTCACTGGCTGCAAACTGGGTGAAAGTCATTATTGGTCCACAGAGAGGATGTGCACCCCATTTATCACAGATGGTAAAATGGTAACATACCACTGTCCCCAGATCAGGCTCTGTTGGCCAGAAGGGACCACAGCCTCCAGGTGAGGAACCTGTTGCCAGAGGAAAAGCCTCAGAGGTGCCCAAAAAAAGTGTGGGGAGCTCAGGAGCACGGAAAGGTATGTGGCCTGGGGAGGATTGGGCTCCAAGGCCCTGGGTGGGACGCCCCGGTGATATCCGAGACCCTCTGGTCCTTTTGGTTTGTCTCCAGACTCTTCAGGGCCCACCTCAGGGGCCCCCTCCCCGGCCACCACCCGTCGGACGAGGGCCACAGAGTTGGGACTTTCCCGACCAGCCCCGAGTGCCCGGACGCGACCTCCGACCGAGGCCCCTCGGAGATCCGTGAGCAATACCACAGCGCGCAGCAATGCCGCAGACTCCAGTCCCGCAGCCCGGAGGCGGCCCAGTGCCAGTGGGGCCCTCCCGAAGCCGGCCTCGCGTTCCTTGGGCTCCAGCTCTACCCCTCTGGCCTCCCCAGTTCGCTCTGGGGGCGCACTTCGTGGAACACTCCGGGCTCCTGCGCAGACATCGCAGCCTAAGTCCAAAGCGCAGCCGGCTCTGCGTGCCACACAGGCCGCACCTCTCAAGAAGGAGACAGCTTCAACTCAAGGCGGGCTTTCTTCTTCCTTGGTCACGCCCCCTCCAACTGGTTCCACCGCTGGGCAGGCACCGTCTCCGCTGCTCTCTGGCGCCGGGGTGACAGCCGCACTCCCTCCCTCTCCACCGACCACGCCCCCTCCACCTGCTTCCCTTCACCTTCAGACCCCGCCCTCCCCACAGGCCCCGCCCCCTCCAAGAGTCCAGTCCCCTCTCCTAGCCCTGCAGAACCTCCCCTCCCCGCCGGCCACACCCCCTGAAGAGGCATCCCTCCCTCCACTATCCAAGGCTGCACACTCTCTATCGCTTTCGCCCCAGAATGTCCTCCCTACCCAGGCTTCCCCGGTTTTGCCACCTCTTCCGACTCCCTTGACCACACCCACTTCGTCCACTCTGCCTTCGGTTCCGTCTTCTCTACAGACCCCTCTTTCTCCACCAGTATCTCCGCTGAATCTGCCATCTCCTCGGTCCACGCCCATTCCTCCGGCTCTTTCCGCTCCTCTCTGCGCCAGTCCTTCCCTGTCTCCGCCTCCTCTTCAGGCCACACCCTCTAAAATGCCTACACCTCCATCGCAAGATCCTCCTCTGGCTACATCCCCTGCGCAGGGTCCCCTGGCATCTCCCACTACTCCGACCTCTGCGCCTCCGCAGGCCCCCGCCGAGTCCCTGGCTACACCCCCACTGTGTGCCTCACCCTCCCTGACCTCGCCACCCATACAGGTCCCACCTGCTCTGGCTTCACCACTTCTGCAGGCCACGCCTCCTTTGGCCTTGCCACCTCTGCAGGCACTACTTTCCGTGGGCTCACCTCCACTGCAGGCTACGCCTTCTTTCCTTCCCACCCCACCTCTGACCTCACCTCTGCAGGCCTCTCCTCCCCCTACCATGAACCCTTTGCCCCATCTCTCTCCCCCTGCGTCGCCCCTCCAGCAACCTCTCCTTTCTCCTCCGACCTTACTGCCTCTGCAAGCCTCTCTGTCTTCCTCTGTCTCACCTTCCCGGTTTCCTTCAGCCACTCGACTTCCGCTGGTCCCGCCTTCTCTAGACTTGCAACCTCAGTCGCTCCTGACCACGCCTCCTTCGCAGGTCTCCCCTCTGGCCTTGCCTTCCTTGCAGGCCCCGCCCTCCCCAAAGGCCACGCCCCAGGAACAGGCCCCGCCTTATCTGGCCTTTTCCCTCCAAGAGGACCCTCCCTCTCCCATGCCCACGCCCCCTCCGCAGGCCCTACTTCCGTTGCAGGGCCCGCCCTCTCCCCTAGCCCAATCTCCGACAAAGGCCCCGCCATCCCTGATCTCGCCCCTTCCTCCCCTTGTCTTGACCACGCCTTCTACACAGGTCCCACCTCCGGTTTTGCCCCCTCTGCAGGCTCCGCTCTCCCCCTTGGCCACACCCCCCACACGGGCCCCTCCCCTTCTGTCCTTGCCTCCCCTACAGGCCACGCCCCCTTTCCTGGCTCCGCGAACTACCCAGGCCCCGCCTTCTCTGGCCTCGCCCCTTCTGCAGGTTCCACCCTCTCCCCCTGCCTCCCCTATTCCGCAGCCCCCACGCCGCCCCCCGACCCCTGGTCCCGATGCCTCCACCTCTGGCCCGCGGCTGACCCTAGCGCTGGCCCCAGCCCCGCCGCCACCACCCTCACGCAGCCCGTCCAGCACGCTGAGTGGTCCGGACCTGGCTGGGCACAGCAGCAGCGCGACAAGCACGCCCGAGGAGCTGCGCGGCTACGACAGCGGGCCTGAGGGCGGCGCCGCAGCTTCCCCGCCGGCCGACGCGGAGCTCGCCGCCTGCCACCCGGCTGTCTGGAGTCGAGGTCCTGCTCCGCCCCTGGCCGTCCGTGGCGCTCCAGGTAAGGGGACTGCGGGGATGGTGGCGGGGCCGAGGAAGGGGTGGTGCTTGATTCAGGGGCGGGGCGTGGGGCGGGGCTAGAGGGAGGGCGGTGGTGAGAGCGGAGAAAAGGGGCGGGGCGGAGCCCGAGTAGGGCGGAGCTTCCAGCTCCTCCGCCCAGCCTGGCGTCTCACTCCGCAGGAGCTCCGCTGCCTTGGCCTCCGGTTGCGGGGCCCGGCTCTGGTGACGGCCTGTGCACCATCTACGAGGCCGAAGGGCCCGAGCCGGCGACCCCCACTTCGGGCGCTCTGGATCCGGAAACCGGGTCCAGCGCCGGCAGTGGGAAGACCGCGGCGGGCGCGGGGCCGGGGGCGTCCTCGCTGAGCCCGAAGCCTGCGCCCTTGGGGGAACTGCCGCTGGGGGCGCTGCAGGCGAGCGTCGTGCAGCACCTGCTGAGCCGGACGCTGCTGCTGGCGGCGGCCGAGGGTGCCGGGGGTGGCGGCGGCGGTGGGCCACGCGGTGCGGGGGGTGTCGGTGTCTCGGGGGGCACCCGAGCTCCGCTCAGCGATGCCGAACTAGGCCGCTGGGCCGAACTGCTCTCTCCTCTGGACGAATCCCGTGCTAGCATCACCTCAGTCACCAGCTTCTCCCCGGACGACGTGGCCTCCCCGCAGGGTGACTGGACCGTGGTGGAAGTGGAGACTTTCCACTGAGCCCCTGCACGGCTTTCGGGTCCGCACACTCAGATCTCGCCCTTGTCTCCTACACTCTGACTCTCGTCCCATTGGTTTTAGCCCCTAGAGCTCTTTAAGTGTTTGGATCCAGACCCCAACCCCCTCCCCCCTGGCTGGAGCTCTCGGGACCCAGCCACGCCCTCAGGCTTGGCCCCTGTGGCTTAAGACACGCCCCTCTCGCTTCCAGCCTGGCCCCTTGTCCAGTGTAGTTTACTCCTTGCAGTCTGAGTTTGCAATAAACCCGGTCGCCGGAGCCCTCGTGCATTTGCTGTCGCCACAGGGGCCCCTCCCGGGGGTCGAGAGGGGTGCTGAGCAGTGCGAGGGCCAGGCATGTATGCAGTGGCTGAACTATATGGTTTTTGTCCTGCCATGGCGCGGGCTGGGGAGCTGAGGCTGGGTCTAGGTCTTCCCAAGCGCCAGAACTTGGGCTTCTTCCCCTCCGACTTCTAGTGGAGACGTTTGGTTGGTCAGAAGCCCGAGAGCGGTGAGCTGGAGTGTGGTCAGGTGAAAGAGCGACATAAGCTCCTTCCACCCCAGGCCAGGGAACCGGTGCTAGTGGGGGGGGGGGCGACAAGTTGGAAGGGCTTGGCCGGGCTGGGGGGTCACAGCGTCCCCTTGTTCCCTCGCCTCCCTCTTGACTCTGGGTGCTTGCTCTGCCTACCAAGGAGGCAGAAGTTCAGAGAGCAGGCCAGCAAAAGGATCCTCCATGGATATGGAGTCCCAGGCTGCAGGGAAGAAGTGGCCTCTCCCAGGGTTGGGTGGGAGGCATGGAGGGCCACACTTGACTGCCCCTCTGGGTGTCACACCCACCCTTGCTCTACCTTGGACATCATTACTAACCCCCACCCAGCCTCTTCACTCAGAATTCCTTGTCCTTCCTCCCCCAGGCCTTCTTGGCCCAGCTGTCCCTCTAACAAATGCCCTTTTAGGGAGCTCTCTGCCTGGCCTTTCTTCCCCAAGGACACTGAGAATGAGGGTGGCATCCTGGGGGTCAAAGGGAGACTGGGCCCCAGTGTGGGGTCCTCAGCTGTCTGTCTCTGGGCCTGGCCCCTTTCTGCATCCTGTGTGGGCACCCCTGAAACACACATCTCATCCTGGGCTCCAGGAGGGTGCCACCAGCTCCTCTCTGCAGAGCTGGGGGATGGGGAAAAGGTGGCCAGGATGCTACCTTGCTGAACTTGAAGTTTGTGCAAACGTTTCCTCTGCAGCTCCCTGCTGCTGGGTACCAGGGGATCTAGACTTTGTGACAAGCCCCAGGGAAAAGGGTGGGCTGTGACCACTGGGTCTCGGCGCTAAATCTATATGATATTGGGACAAACAGGTGGCATTTGACTGTCCTGATGAACATGTCATGTACAGTGGTGTGGCTGCCAGCGGATGGCAGCAGGGGCCACCTGGTGGACAGTGGGGCTTGGCTGGTGTCTGCCCAGACTGGATTAAATTTCTGCTCCTAGGCAGCCTTCCTTTGCCTTGTCTGCCTCTGTCCGCCACACAGCAGCTCTGTGAAGAAGCCTAAAAAGCACATTTCCTGTTGGGCCCTCTTCTCCTGGGGGTCCCCCCATCCACTGTCCCCAGTACCTGCTACGCTGGCCTCAGTGACCCCCACACTGTGGTCTATCTGATGATGTCTCTGTCCCTTTGATTGCCTATGGCTCCCCAGGACCCTTAGTGCAAAGCTGTCTGCACTTGGCTTGTCGGGTAACCCCTTCTTGGTCTGGCTACACCAGTGACCTAGGCTTCCTGGTAACAACTTCTGGCCTTTAGGCTTTTGCTCTATGTCCTCTGCTACACTGTGGGGGAGCCCTTCAATGAGGCACAGTGTGGATGCCCCCAGAAGATCTCTGGAACTGCTGCCAGATCCTGCTTTTTTTTTTTTGGTCTTTTTGAGACAGGGTCTCTATGCAGTTCAGGCTGGCCTTGAACTCACTTTGTAGCCCAGGCTAGTCTCCAACTTGAAACGATCCTCCTGCCTCAGCCTCCCAAGTGCTAGGATTACAGGCATGAGCCACCACGCCCCACTCAGATCCTGCTTTCTGAATCTGCCATCCCTGCCTGTCTTGGAAGGGTAATGCAGGACATCACACCCTGCCGCTGTACTGGTCTCACACCCTTCACGGTCTTGCACAAGCACCCAAGACCCTCTTCCCTCTCCTGCCTGCCCCTTGGACCATGGTGAGCCCAGGCCGTGGACAAAGCCTGTCCCACCCAGCCAGCGCCCCTTGTCCGTGACTGTAAATACACTTTATTTTCCATCTTTCCCTCCAGGGCAACATGTGGAGTGTGAACAGGCAGTGTGCAAAATGGTGGTGGGCAGTGGTGGGGGGCACACTGGGAGAGCCCCACAGGTGCCCACCCTGGTTCCCAGGCTTTGTAATACTGAAGAGTGGGCGGCCAGGGAAGGGGACCAATCAGGGGTCCCCCTCCGGGAAGCGCCGGGGAGATTGCTTCTGACGCTAGGCTACTCTACTCAGGCTCCAGGAGCACCGAGAGGGTCGGCCGCAGGGTCACGAGGCCTCTGGGGAGAAAGGAGGAAAGGGGCCTGGGGACACTGCTGGACTTTGGCACCACGGAGACCCGGGGGCCACCATCAGAGGCAAGAGGGGTGGCTCTGTTGGAATACTCCAGCCCTGGGGCAGGACCTGGCCTGGGGAGGTGGGGTGGGACTGGGGCCCAGAGAGGGTATGGGAGTGGATGGAGGCTGCGACCCGCAGGAGAGGGGACCCTTTTTTTGCTGGCCAGGATAGGGGACTGCTTCCAGGGGACGATTCGGGGTGCCAGAGAGATGGGTTTCTTCATTCCTTGCAGCTGCCCAGGCTTTAGAGAAGCCAGGAGACCCCGCCAGATCCGAGCTGTCCCTACTGGCCCTCACAGCCCAGGTGGCCCCGCACACAGGAAGAGGGACTTTGGTTTCTGCTGCAGGGGCCAGGAGGCCTGCACCAGGCAGAGTAGCCCAGCTCGGCCACCTGTCCCCGCTGGCCAGGGGTTGGCTGGCCAAGGGTCACTGTGTTCAGCGGTGTCTTAGGGTGCTAATGTCCAACTCAGAGCTGCCTCTCTCTTCTCAGACCTCTAGCTCCTGGACCCTTCCCGGCAGGGCCACCTTGTGGTCAGGAGGAGGCCAGCTGGGAGTGGCACTTGCAGTGCACTCAACCCTGGGGTCTCTGTGTCTCATGCCCCCTGTCCTCACTGTTGGGGGTGCAGCCCTGTGCCCACAGAGGTTGGGCCAGGATGGGTAAACACTGTGGGGGAGGGGGAGCCTGCTGCGGGCCCTACCCTCTGCCCTCTGCCTCTGCTGCAGCTGGGCCGCCGGCCGGGGCCACAGAGGCGTAGAGTTCATGAAATGTGGCCGGCTGGGGAGCAGCCGCTCCCTACGGCGGCGCACAGGCCTCAGCCTCAATTGTCCAGGCCCTGGCTGTAGGGCGCGGCCAGCTCATCGGCATCACTGTCCGAGCTGCCCTCGCTGTCCTTGGCTGGCCGCTCCAGACGGCGGAAGAAGCGCGCATCTCGCGGGGACAGTGGGTACAGCGCGTCCTGCAGGGCGGCGCCCACGCCCACGCCCAGCAGCTCCTCATCCGAGGAAGGCAGTGAGTCCTCATCCAGGTGCCGTGTCAGGCTCAGCCCGTCGAAAGCCAGCGGGTCCTCGAAGGGCGGTGGGCCCTTCAGCAGCCGCACCTGGGGCGGGGACCCGCGCACTGGAGGCGTGCACGTCGCGCACCCGCGAGAGAGTCCGCCCGCCACCTGGCACCCCTTCCTGCCCTCCAGGCCTGTCACCTGCATTCCCGCCGCCGTATGGCTGCCCGCGCTCACCTCGGCCTTGAGCTCCTCAATCTGGTCCTTGAGCTCGCGGATGTACTGCGACGAGTCCGAGTGGTTCAGCTGGCCCTGGATGCGGCCCTCCTCTCTCTGCGGGGCGGGGCGGGCACCCGGCGGTCAGCAAGGGCAGCGCTTGTGCCCGCTCCGCCCCTGCCCCGGGCCGGCCCCGCCACGGCCACGCACCTGGATCTCCAGCTCTGCGATGCGCTGCCGCATCTCGGCCACCGCGGCCATGCTGTCCGCCTCCCGCAGGCGTACAGCCATCACCTCCTCCTTGCTCTGGAGTGGGGACAGAGGGAGGGTCAGGGTGGCTAGGGGCTCAGGACAGGCGGGCGCTGGGCGGGGCAGGCGGGCGGCACCTTGCACTCGGCCTCGGCCTGCTTGCGGCGGCTCTCGCTGAGCTGCGTCTGCAGCCCCTTGTTCTGCGCGGCCAGGTACTGCAGCTTCTCCTGCAGCGCCGCGCGCTCCGCCTCCACGCGGTTCAGCAGGTTGCGGTGGATGTGGTCCTGAGGACGGGAACAAAGCGGACCCGCGGGGTCACGGCCTGGCCTGGGGCTACCTAGTGACACCCGGGCAGTGCTGGGTGGGCGGACCGGTGCGCGGGCTCACCTGCGTCTCGAGCTCCACCACGCGCTGCCGCAGCTCGCGGCCGTCGGCCAGCGCCTGGGCCTCGCGCAGACGCACGCTCATGAGCTCATCCTGCAGTTCGCTCAGCACCAGCTTCCGCGGGGACTCCTTCCAGCGGCCGCCACGGGACAGATGGGCCTGCGGAGCGCCGGGGGGTGGGGCGGAGGCGGGGGCGGCGTCAGCCTCGGCCTGAAGATCCCCAGGCCCGCCCAGCACCCAGCCACCTCCCTCACCTGCCAGGCATCCGACAGCTCCTGCAGCTGTTGCTTCAGCTCCCTGGTGGATGCCACGGCCTCGCCCTCCCGCACCTTGAGCGCCTTCAGTTCCTCCTGTAGCCGCGCCACGTTGTTCTCGTCGGGCAGCGAGCTGTTCCTCTATGGGGAGAGAAGTGGTCAGGGCGCTGGGAGCTGTGGATTCAACACTCCTAACTCCTGTCCTCCTGCTCGCTGCTCACCTGGGGACCAGAGGGTGCCCCGGAAACAGGGCCCGGATACTCAGAGCAGATCTGTGCAACCCAGCTGAGGACTTTCGTCTGTGAAATGGGTGCAGGGCTCACACTGCTGGCCTAGGGCAACCCCAGGTGTGGCAGGGGCCCCACAGATGTGAGTGCCAAGAGCACCAGCAGGCTGGGCCCATGACCAGGCCTGGTGTCCACCCTAGCCGGGTAGAGAGGATCTCTGGGGCGCAGTACCCTGAGCTCCCTCAGGCCAGGCTGGGCCAGGCAGCCCTTCTCCCTGGGAGCACCCAGGTTGGGGGTCGGCCCACGTCCTTTCCTGGTGTCCCCCGGGCTCAGGGATGGGATTATCCTCTCACAGCCTCTTGGCCAGCTACTCACTGACCCTTGCATGGGTGCGAGCAGGTGGTTAGCAGGTCCAGTGGGCTGCACATTTTGTCCCACGTGGAGGCAGCAGCTGGACAGCGGCCCAGCTATGGGTGGGAAGGGGGCTGTGCATGGGGTGGGCGTGGCAGGTTGGTTGCAAACCCTGTGTGCTGTGGGAGTGGCTCCTGGGTGCTCTCCTGCAGCTCTAGGGAAGCACAAGTCCATTTGGGGGAGACTTAGCAAGGAGGGCTGAGCCTCAGTCGGTCCCCTGAATGGTGTCTCCCAGGGGGTGGGGAAGCCCTGGTGGCCTTGGCCTTCCCTTCCTGTGCCCCATCCCTCCATCCGGAAGCCTAGGAGAGGGCTGAGATGTGTGCGCAGCACTCTGGGGTATCGGGGAGGTGCAGCAGTCTCCCCAGGCTGCTGGTGTCCTGCGTCATCCAGAGGCACCAGGGTGGTTGTGCTTTCCTTGGGCCAGTTGCTGGGTGGAGACTGCACTGCTGGAGGAGCAGTTGCCCAGCAGGGAAGCATCCTGGGCTCAGAAAGGATGAGTGAGGATGTTTCCTCTGCAGGGACCCACTGGGGTGGGCAGGCAGGGCCAGCCCTACTTCTGCACCCCCCGAGCTCACTAAGCACCCCCTGTCTTTCCAGTCCTCCAGCATCCGCCCACAACACCCGCCCAGCTGTACCTTTTCCATGTCCAGGACCTTGTCCTGCATCTCTCGCAGGGCCCCTAAGGTCTCAGTCTCTCGAAGCCTGGACTGTTCCAGCTCTGTTTCCAGGTGGGCCACGAAGTCCTCAGTGAGGCGTGGGTTCTCCTGAGGGGACAGAGGACTGTGTGGGACCTGGGGTTGTGGGGGACCCAGGCTTTGGGTACCCCCAGACCCCCGAGCAGGGAAAGCGATGCAGGTGTGGGCATCCTGGGCTGAACCCCTATGCTGCCCGCCTAGGTATCCTGTCCTGGGCAGCCCAAGTGGCCAAGCCACTTTCCTAGGAAGGCTGCAGGGAGGGGACCTTCTGTGGCCTTAGGATGTCCTCTCGGGGACCAATTGCCCCCGTGAGGGTGGCCAGGGTGGGTGGGTGTTCAGCTCTGGCCCCTGCACTTCTGTCCTCTGCTTGCCTGCCTCCTGCCCAACTGCAAAGCATGACAGATGGAGACGGTCTGCTTTGGGAGGCCTGGCTGCCCCTGGGCCTGGTGGGGATACGTGGCCTCTGGGGTAAGAGCTGTGGTTGTCCCTCTCATGCCCTGGCAGGGCAGATCCCTGAGGGATACATCTAACCTCATCCAGCGGGCACTCCCCTCCTCCGAGGTCTTTCTGTTCCATGCCCGGGACCACTCTGGTGCTCTGGGTGTCCGGAGCCCTCCTTCAGCCCAGACGGGTGCCAGGCACAGTGCAGCGCCCCTGCTGAACACAGCCTTCTCCAGCGCCTTCCTTGGGCCTGAGCAAATGGCCTTGGGCCTTGCCCGTCTCTTCCCCCTCCTGAAGCTGGAGCTCAGGGCCTCTCTGGCTCTAGGGGGCCTCAGTGTTGCGCACCATGGATGCCAACTGGGTGGCTATGTGCAGATGCCCTGCTGGTGCCTGCCACTCGACCTCAGGATGTCCCCGGGATCTGAGGCTGCTTGCCACCGTGAGGTGGGACAGTGGAGGGAACCCATGTGGTCTCCTGTCACCCTCTCCCTTCCAGAGGGTGAGGAGGGTCCATCTGTGCCCTGAGGGGCACAGGGCAGAGGCGGCCCCATCCCCGCCTGGTACCTGCTGCTCCTGCAGCTGGCGGATGGTGCTCTGCGCCTTCTGCAGGTCCTCGGCGGCGGAACTGCACTGCTGCCGCGCCACGGCCAGCTCCCGCTTGATGACATAGTTCTCCTCAGCCTCCTGCGCCCGCGTCACCTGGCCCTGAGCACATGGAGGGAGGACCATGACCTGCTGCTTCCACTCCAGGCCCCAGGGGAGGCCCAGAATGGGTGGGAGCGGAGGGAGTGACAGCGAGGTCTCTTGCAACTCACAGCCTGGAAGGGGGTGCCCCATGGGGGTGTGAAGTATGGGAGGTAGGGGTGGCAGGATATGACGCCCCGATTTCTCAGGCTTAAGTGGGGGAATGGGGACCCCAGCCAGAGATGCCAATAGCTCCTTTCCTTGCCTGATTCTGGCTCTTGGCCTTGACAGGGGCTGCCTGTCCCTGTCCTTTGGGCTCTGTTCCGGGAGAGCTGCCAGCCCCAGGGAATACAAATCTTTCTGGGGCTGCCCCACCTTTCCCTTCCCCCACCCACTTTGGGGCCCCCATTCCAGACTTGGAGCCAGTAGTATTGTTGAGATGAAGCCATTCAAGATGAAGCAGCACAGAGGCAGGTGAGGTGGTGGTGGGCTGGGTGGTGAAGCGGAGGGGAGGTGTACAGGGCGCCAGAGGGCACGTGTGTGCACCCATCTGTGCAAGTGCATGTTTGTGTGTCAGGTCAGAGCTCAGCACAGTGCATGCACCACGCCTGAAGCCGATGCATGGGGTCCCAGGCCCTCCTGGCTCCCCGACCTGGATCCCTTGGAGAAAGCTCTCCGTGGGTCAGTGCATGCCACCCCCTCTCCCTGTCACATGCCCCCTCCCAGGAAAGCCTGCGCCTCCTTGGAAGAAGCGGAAGTAGCCCCCATGCATGATGCCAGGCCTGCCCCTCTTCACCCCTTGAATGGCAGCGGCCAGGGAAGGGGCGGTTACTGGCTGTTATGTGCAGGGACCAGGGAAGTGGCCAGGAAGGAAGGAAACCGGACAGGAAGACGCAAAGCTACAGTACCTGGATTAACCTATCAGCCAGAGCAGCGCTCTCCTACCGGGCGGGCGCGGGCGAAGGGGGTTCCGAGCGACAGGGGGAGGAGGCAGAGCGGAAGGCGCGGGGACAGGAGAGGGGAGAGACAGACAAGAACCACTTGTCACTAATGCGGTGGACTATCTCTAGAAGCAGGGGAGAGAGGAGTGAAGACCACAGAACCAGCAGGAGAGGACCTGGAGGAAGACCGAAGCCAGAGCCAGCTCCCTCCTGGAGAGGGGTTTGCAGGGAGGTCAGGTGGCTGCAGGGCTGGCCCAAGTGGGAAATCTCAGCTCTGGGAATGTTAGCCTCACTGGGGTTTTTGTTTGTTTGCTTGTTTTTCATCTGTTTGTTTGTTTTTGAGACAGGGCCTCACTATGTAGTGCAGGCAGATCCTGAATTCACTATGTAGCCCAGGCTGGCCTTGAAGTCATGGTGATGCTCCCGCCTCAGTCTCCTGAGTGCTGGGATCACAGGTGTGCACCCCACACCTGGCTATGTCAGCCTCACTGTGAAGAAGAGCGTCTAGAGCGGTCTGGGATGGGAAGTATGCTTTGAAGGGGAGCAGGAATTGAGGTCTTGAGACAAGGGCAGTGGGAATCATGGGTCTGGGTCAGCCAAGCCACTGATTCCATCCCTTCTTTTGTGGTGTGAGGGCCAGGACTGTCGTGTTCACTGTCCAGAGTCGGCACTCAGCTCCAAACCCAGGTTAGTCACAGTGCCAGTTAGGGCTGGGGCAGTGACGTCCACCCAGGCTCCTGTAATAGTCATCCGAACCTCAGTGGGACCTGGCTGGGCTCAGAGGACTTAAACTGTGCTTCTTGGAGCCTGCTTCAAGGAGGGCCCCAAGGGGGCCCAGGAGAGAGGCCTAAGGGGCTCGGGGCCCCCCGGGGGTCCACACCTCTCACCTTCTCCAGGGTCTCAATCCGCTGCTTCAGGAGCCGGTTCTCAGTCCGAAGCCTCTGCAGGGGGAGGGACAGACATCAGGGTCCACCCCCAGCCCCTACACATGTTCCCCTCATGCACTCACCGCCGAGGTCCAGGTGGGTCCCCTCGGGGGCAAGTCCACCTTCAGGCAGGACTCGGCCTGTATTATGTTTTGGATCAGTGGTTTCAGAAGCAGGGCCCATTTCTGTTCAGAGATGCCCACGAAAGAAAATTCAGTACTGTATTTGTGCACACTGGAGTACTATTCTGCCTAAAGGATACATTTGAATCATTTGTAGGAAAATGGATGTACCTTGAGACCATAATGTTAAGTGAAATTAGACACCCAACCTTAAATATTGCATGGTTTCTCTTATATGAGAAAGCCAAATTATAAAAGAAGAGAAAAATGAAGTTAATAGGAAATAAGGAGACAGATCTTTTGCAAAACGGTCAGGAACCAAGAGATGGAGGAATGGAAGAGAGATGGGAAGGAGATACAAAGAATTAGGATGTGTTATTAAGTACATGTACCAACTCTCCACGAGGAGTGTAAAAACTAAAAAAAAAAAAAAAAAAAAAAATGCCTGGCATGGTGGTGCACACCCTCAATCCCCAGTGCCCTGGGAGGCTGAGGCAGGAGGATCTCTAGTTTGAGACCAGCCTGGGAAACTCAGTGAGATCCTGTCTCAAAAATAAAAAGGGCTTGGTGTGCAGGGCCTGAGTGCAAAGGGTTTCATTGCCAGCACCACAGAAAAACCAAACCAACCAAGCAACCAACCAAACAAAAAACATAGTAAAGGAGACAAGGGCCTTTATGGCTGTGTGCGCACGCGGCCTCCTTGGAGATCTGCCTCTGACCTGTGTGCAGGTCTGGCAAGGACAAAGGCCCCTGCCCACATTTTGGAAGCTGCTGGAAGGCAGCCGGGCCCTCCTTGTGCACCCCCAGCCCCTGGCTTAGCATCTCCCGCAGGCACTGTGCTCTGAATTTGGGTCCTGCCTTCTGGACACATCTGTGACCTCATGGAGGCTTCTCTGTCTTCGCCCTCCATGCTGAGGGGTGCTGGGCGGGCATTTGCTGTTTTAGGGAAGCAGAGGACATGTATGACACGTGGGATCTGCCCTCTCCTGCACCTGGTGACGCAGATATGGTTTGGCTCACTGGGTGCAGGTCACAGAAAACCCTTCCTGTGTTGTTTGTGGGGAGAACTTTTGAAATATTTCCAGAAGTGGTGGCAGCCATCGAATCACAATGGCCACTGAGCGACATCATGGGGTGCTGGGGGGAAACCGAGTCAAACTGGGGCAGGGTCTTGTCCCAGCTTCACAGTATGGACAGGGAAGGCATGGATAGGGACCCCTGACCTCTGACCTCTGACCCATGGGTTGCTCTGCCCTCTCTGGCCTCAACCCACACCATCAAGGCCTCCTGCAGAGATATTGCTGGAGGCCTTGGACAGCCTGGCCAGGAAGTCCTCTCTTTCCAGCTTACTCCAAAGGAGAACGAGAGGAAGAATGAGCGGGAAGCTTTACACTAATCGTGGCTGTACATTTTTTCTGTGCAGCTATTGCATGCTTAATGACCCACCTGTTTAACGACTGCTTGGACTTGCGACCTGTGGTTTTTGGGTGCAGCGCTCTACCTCTTGTTTCCAGAGCCTGTGTCTTTTTGTGCAATGCCCCTTGAGCATACGGTACTTTAAGCTTAGTGGGCTGCCCCGCATAGTGCAGTACTGTTGCTTCGTTCTGCTACACATTATTACCGGGCTGCACTAAGTTACGCAAATAAAAACAACGTCACCAAGGTGGAGCCTGCTTTGGTGGTCGCGCTGCGCCCAATATTGTAATGCACGTAGTGAACACAAATCCTCTTTTTGCCACGGGATCACACGATCGGAAGTTGGTCACGAGACGGGAAATGAATGTTGGTGCCTCACGACGCGCTGCCGGGCTGGACCTCGCTACTTCGTTCGGGTGAGCCCCCTCCTAGGGGACAGCACGCGCCTCTCTGGTGCCAGGTATAGGTCTTGAGCCCAAATCTCAACCCCTTCGTGTCTCGCGTGCACACACCGAACCAATGATGTCCCCGCCGACAACTGGCCCAGGCCCTGTCCTGGACAGCAGGACACCCCCCGCGGGCCAGGCTGCAGGGACCACCCCGTGTGGCCATCAGCTCACTGTATCACTGTCCTCAGCCCCGCCCGCCCTGCTCTGCTGACCCTTCCCCTGCGGAAAGCGCACCAGTGCTGCGCATGCGCACACTTGCGCCCTGCGTCCTCCTGCCTGACCCTGTAGGGTGGCGGGTCTGGGCTGGCCGCCCGCTCCTCTCGGGGACTGAGTAACAAACTCTCCCCTCCAAGGCATCCCTCTGCCTGTCATCGCATCATCCCCGACAGGCTATAAAGCAGGCTAAGGGCAGTGGATTAACGGGCAGGGCCGTGCGAGGTGGCCTCTGAGTCCCTCGCAGGGGAAATAGGCACATAGCCCTGGGGTCTGCGGCGTCCTTGTCCACGTCAGGCTTCACGACAGCGGACGAGAGCTGGTCCGCGTCTATACAGAAGCAAGGGAGACACAGGATCTGCATAGACCTGGGTGTGAGGCGAGCTGCTGCTCCTGAGAAAAGGCTGTGCTCGAAAACCCAGGGTACCAGACAACGTCTGGAAAACCTACGGACGGGGCCTGGGCGACCGGCAGCAGGGCTCCTCCTCGGGGACAGGCGGTGCTGTCCTGGATTCTCCGCCACCTTCCCACAGGAAGTGGGGCAACGCTGACCACAGTGGTGGTGATGTTAACTCCAGCAGCACTGCAGATACCCCCATTTCGCAGAGAACTGACCGAGGTGCAGAGGCCAGCTCACCTACCAGGGTCCCACAGCTGGTCCCTGGTGAAATCTACTCTGGTCTGGTGGGCTCCAGGCTCAGCCCCTGTGTGACCTAGGTCCTGAAGAGGACAGACCAGTCTGTGTGGTGATTTTTGCCCCTACCTGTCCCCCGTACTGGGCCCAGAGGACCCTCACCCTTAGCTGTGATGCTGGCATAAGCACGTATTCAACAAATGTTTTGTTGCTAGGCATGGCGATGCATGACTGTAATGCAAGCACTGGAGAGGCTGAGGCAGGAGGATCTCCAGGAGTTCAAGACCAGCCTGGGCTACACAGCAAGATCCTGTCTCAAAAAACCCCAAATAGATCAACGAACATTTGCTTGTTGAATGACTAATAAAAATGGTGACATGGAAATCGAGGTGGGGAATGTGGGCCCAGGGAGCCCCCGTGTGGGATAGACAACAGGGTGCCCACAGCTGGCATTTGGTGCCTGCCTGCCTTGCTCTCACCAGCGGTCTCACCACCTCCTGTCACCAGACCTCGGACTGCTCCCTGCCTGACCCTGGACCCCGGGAGTTTCTGGCGCTGCCACTTGGGCTCGCTGCCCTTGGCCCCTGGACCTGCTTCCTCGCTGCCCGCCTGTCCCCTGCGCCTGCGCCCGAGCACTCCGCGGAGGCCACGACTTTGTAGTGGTTTATTAAGCGTCTGGGACCCACGTGGGCAGAACCTTGGCTGTCTTGTTTACTGCGGTGTCGCCAGGGCTGAGCAGGCGAGGCTTGGCAGGGGAAGCAGGGCCGGCGGACGTTCAGAGCCCGCAGCGGGCAGCGGCCGCCCTCTAGTGGCCAGCGCTGGAGCTGCCCTCGTGGGCCCCATCCTGCTCCCCGCTGCCCGGACTCACTTTGATCTCAATCTGCTCCTCCATCTCCTTGCTCTTCATGGCCGCGTATTCCTTCTCCAGCCTGTCGGGGAGGGGCGTGTGTGACCCCCGCCGCCTAACCAATACGGCTCCCCCGGCCCCGCCCCTGCCCGAGGGCCGCGTCGCACTGACCTCTTCATCTTCTTGGGGTTGTACTTGACCTGGTAGGCCCTGAGCACCAGCTTGTCGGGGCAGCTGTCGAACTGGTGGGGGATCACCCTCTGGAAGTACTGTGGGGATATAGGGGGCTCACTCTGTGTCCCACCGCCCCCTGGGGTAAGGTCAGCAGTGTTTCCGGCACGGGGCCTGGCCATGGCGTGGGCAGTGTTTGTGGAGTGACTGTATGACGGAGGTGAGCCGGCAGCGTGGGGTCGGGGGAGGCCAGGCCACCCTGCTGCCCTGCGCCAGGGCTCCAGAGCTGCGAGGGTAGGGCAGGAAGGAAGTGGGCAGGAGTGCCCCTGAAGCCCCTGCCAGGGGAAGGGGAGCCACGGATGGCCCCACCCCCACCCTGGTCCAGCTGCCCCCTCTGGCAACGACGGACAATGGACGCCCGTGTTCAGGGATACAACTGTGGCTTTGTGCTTTCTTCTCCAGAGCACCAGCTGGAGGCTCCTGCAGGGGGGAGGGCCTGCATGCAGGGGACCTGGTGGTGAGAGGGAGGCTGGTCCCCAGGGACTGTGGGCAGGGCAGGGCAGGGCAGGAGGGCGCCCCAGACGCCAGCTCCCTGCTTGACCCCGCCTGGCCAGGGCACTGGGGTTGAAATCACATCCGGGGCAGGCCCTGGTGAATGGTTGGGCCCCCTCTTCCCCCATGACAGCTGCCGGCTCTGGTCCCTGGCCCACCTGTGACATGCCCTCCATGTCCAGCTGCATGAGCTCCGCCTGGTTCACCTGCAGCAGGGCCAGGCCCACCCGGAACACGATCTCCAGGCCCTGCAAAGGCCAGGGGGGTGGTGAGCCTCGGCCGGGTCTGTTGGGGGCTGGTGGGTGCTCAGCCTCTGAAGCAGGCAGGTGGGGGTGCCCCCCCCCGGAGGCCCTCACCTCATACATGAAGATGTCGAAGACTCGGGTGGCCACGGGCAGGGGGAAGGTGGTGAGGAAGAGCGTGAGGAACCACGAGGAGGCGTACATGGACGTGTGGAAGCTCTGCGAGCGGAAGTGGGTGTTCAGGTCTGGAAGCTGCTCCTGTGGGGGGTGGGGAGGCCGGCGGGCATGGGCAAGCAGCTCTGGGCAGAGCTGGTTCTTTCCCATCGGGAATGCTGGGTCTCGGTGTCCCTATACCCAGGGAGCCTTCCTTGAACTGCCTAAGTCTGTCCAAAGGTCCCTTTCTTGGAGCATGGACAACGTGAAGTGGTACCATAGGAAGTGATGGCTGGAACCCTGGCAGCTACAGTGTGTCATGTGTCCACACTAGATGGGGACTGGGTCAGCTGTTCTACTGGTAGCAGCTGGTGGGGTCTTCTCAACTGTCCCAGAGGGAGCTTCTGGGGCTTGGGGTTTTGTCACTCCCCAAGGCCACACAGGGAATGAGAGGGCTGATAGTCCCTGGTCAGAGCTATCACAGCTCACCCTTGGTACGTGCTGTGCCCATTATGGCCCCCAGCATGGAGGCCCCAACTTCAGGCTGCCAGAAAGTGAGAGCCCACTGGGGGCACTGAGGCTGGAGGAGCCATTAGGACCCTGGGCTTCCTCCCAGAGCCATGCATTCTCTGTACCTGGATTTACAGGTCTGCATGGCTGTGAAGTTACTCGGTCAGGGGTGGGCACCCCCATTCTCTGCAGGCCTGGGCCCCTGCTCATGGCACTACTAGGGCCCTGCAGTTAGAACACCACCTGTCCCTTGGTTCTGGGGAGTAGGGTCCTTGCCATTGGCTTCCAGCATAAGCTGGTGTGTGTACGAGGTGTGTTTAAGTGTTGTGTGTGTGCGCAGTGTGTGTGTGTGTGTGTGTGTGTGTGCGCACACTGCCGCACTGTCTGCCAGCCAGGAGCGGGCCCTGCGGGGGCTGCTATTTATAAACACCCGTCTGCACGCCCAGTAATCAGCAGTGGCAGCCAGACAACACTCACCCTCCTTCCACCACCGCAGCGCCCGGCACCCAGGGAGGCCGTGGGTGTGTCTGTGACAGCTCCCCTTGCCCTGGCCTCGGTCTCGGTTTAGGTGCTGGGAGCCCCGGTGTGCGTGCAGGCCCTGCCCAGGCCTTCCCAGTGTCCTCTAGGGCAGTGCCCAAGAGCTCCATGGATACAGATGCACCCTCTGCGCTGGGATTTCAGGGGGTGATTACTCAGGCATGGCATCCTCATCCAGCGACTCCCAGAGATGGCCCCCTGCCCCGACTGCCCAGCTGCTCACCTGCAGCATGTACTCAAACTGGTAGATGCAGAGCCCCAGCTCAGCCATGCTGGGCTTGAAGAGCTCCCGAAGCCGGTACTCCTGCATCAGCCGCACGAACACACAGAAGGCCTCCTCCTCAGGCATCTGGGGGCACAGGGAGGATGGAGTGGGGCGGGGCGTGGGGACAGGCTGGGCACTCTTTCGAGGGCCCCGGTGCACACAGGCCTGAGTCGCCCTGCTTGTGTTTACAGATGCGAACTGCTCAGTGACCTGGATGCACAGAGGAACTGCTGATGAATGTGGCTGGCACTGTTCTGATGGAAACACTGAGGGCTGCGGGCTGGGGCTGGGACCTGAGCCTCAGTCTGGCCCCTGCCAGAGCCCACGGCCTCATCCGCTGGGCCGAGATGCCCTCCTGTCCCTTCTGCTCTCCCCCTAGCCCCTTTCTTAGCCTTTTGGTACCCATGGAGCATCCTCCAGGGCCCCTGAGCACCTCACTAGCTGACCTAGATCCCTCCTTGTCCAAGTCTGTGTCTGGGCCCAAACAGTGTCAGGACCCTGCCAGGGCAGGTTCCCAGACCCATGTCCACCCACAGGACACTCAGCCTAGCAATCAGAGGGCGAGGGTGGCTCAAGAGGAAGGCTCCAGTCCTGGGGGAACGGTAGATGGGCCCCCCTGGGGTGTACCTGGCCCTCCCCTGCCGCCTACCTGCATGAGGAGCAGGCCCACGATGAAGGCGCTGCCCTGGCAGTAGCCCACCTCCCGGTCCACCAGGGAGTAGGCCTGTAAGGAATGCGACTGGGTGAGCACGGGGCCGCCCAGGCACTGACCCCAGGGGCCAGGGTGCGGGGTGGCCGGGCCTGACCTTCATGACATTGAAAAGGACCTCCTGGCCCAGGCTGTCCTGGCCCTTGAAGAACTCGTGCTCGGGGTAGGTGCGGGCGATGTCCCTGCGGATGAGCTTCTCGCACGGCGAGGACATCTTGAGCAGCTCCGAGTATTGGTTCTTGACTGGCATGTCCGTGGCGCTGCACAGCAGCTGCCAAACGATGGCCCGGAAGTGGTGTGGGATGCCCTTGCGGATCAGCTCCTGCCGCAGGAGGGGTGGGGAGACGAAGCTGGACTACACCCCACAAGGGGCGCCCTGCCACACCCTCGCCCTCCCAGAGCATCGGCCAGCAGCCCCCGCCCCGGCCACCTTGAGCAGTTTCTCCTTTCGACGCCGCCATTCCTCCCACTCGTTGGCGATGCGTCCCCACAGGATCCATGTGTCCTCCTCCAGGTGGCTCAGATTGGAGGAGGCCGATGAGCTGGACACCAGCGAGGAGCCACTGTTCCGCCGAGAGCCGTTCATGGAGCGCATGGACTTGGAGTCGGCTTCCAGGAGCCTGGGGGGGGGGGGGGGGATGGGAGAGGAGCTTGCTGGTGGCTCCGCGGGGCTTCCTGGGGACCGGGGCTCTCTGCAAACTCTGGGTCACTCTAGGTCATTTTTGCTGAGTGACTGTGGCTGGTGACCTGAGCCCGAGGCTGGTCCTCATCCATTGGACCTAGGACTATTGCACTCCTGTTCTGTGCCATGCAACATCCACATCATCTAACCCTCCCTACTGAAGGCTATGGGCGGGCTTGGGGGAACCCCCACTTTATAGGTGGGGCTTGGAGAGGGAAGCCTGGTGGGGCATTCCTAGCTGCCGAGGGGCTATATTACTTAACTCGGTGTTTCTTTTCTTTTCTTCAATGCTGGGTGTTGCACCCAGCATCTTACACTGAGCTGTACAGCCCACTCCCCTTTTTTATTTATTTTTTTAATTTTGAGACTGGGTCTCCCTAAGTCACTAAAAGGCTCAGGCTGGGTCTGAACTTTGGATGCTCCTGCCTTCATCCCCCAAGAGTGCTGACAACTCTGTGCTTCTGACACTTTGACACCTGGGCCCTGGAGACCCTGGAGGGCTGGACCTCCTGATGCCAGCTAGTTCCTGGAGAGAGCAAAAGACCAGCTCCCTGTGAGGACATCCTTTATATGCAAACCAACCAATCCTGAGCCCACGCCCTCCCCAGCTCCTCTACCAGGCCCTCCTACCCTGTCCACTGCCCACCCGCTCAGTTGCCCCTGCAGCAGGGAGCTGACACCCTGGATGTGCCTGGAGCTGCTCGGAAAGATCTCCCTGCCCCTTCCCATGGAGACCCCCCATGAGACCTTGAGACCTCCCAGGCTGGCCCCAAAGAGCATGGGCTGGTCCCTGGCTCAGGATGCCCCTTCGCTGTGGTTGCCCCTGGTATCTGAGTAACTATAAAGCCTGCATCTGGTATGGGCTGGGTGGAGTAGTTCAGTGGTACAGCACTGGCCTGGCATGTGCAAGGCTCTGGGTTCATCCCCCGCACCACAAACTGAACAAAACACAACCCACAAAAAGAACCAAAATCTCTGCCTTTTGAGACAGGGGCAGGGCAGAGACAAAGGAGGAGTGTGGGAGTACAAAACAGGCTCAGAAAATGATGGTTAGGCTCACCTGACCTTTTTTTTTGATACTGGGGATTGAATTCATAACCTCATGCTTGTCAAGCAGGTGCTTATGCCTCTAAAGTAAACCCCTGGTGCCTTTTTTTGGTTTTTGAAACAGGCTCAGGTTCAGGCTGGCCTCAAACTCTGGGCAATCTTCCTGCCTCAGCCTCCCAAGTACTATGATTATAGGTACCTGGCTCATTTGACCTTTTGAAACCTCTGTCTCTGCAGTGGGGTTGTAAGAACAAAGAGTGATGTCCTTTCCAAGTGTCCCCAGATAGCTGTTACCTCCTCGTTCAGTGTGGGCCCAGCTTGGAGTGTGAAGGAGCCCTGGGAACTTCTGCCAGGGGCCCAGGCTGCACCCCAAGACCTTCACCCTAGACCCCAAGCTCTCACTCACCGATTCTGTTCCTCGAGCTTGGCCAGTAGCTCTAGCTCATCTGGGCTGAGGTTCTCAGAGTCTGAGGTGGGGGAGCAGGTGGGGACCGACAGGGCCTCCTGGGAGGAGGAATCTGGGCTCAACGTTGGGCTCGCCATGGTGGGCAGGCTCCTCGGCTGTGGGCGGGGCCAGGTTACAGCTCTGTCTGGGGTCCAGAGATGCATGAGGTCAGCACCGCGTCAGTTCCCACCCTGCCCGATGGCTTTGGGCCCACCGAGTCCTCCTGTTCCCTGGCCCCGACACTTCTGCACCCAGGCTTTCCAATCCTGAGCTGCCCCTGGGGAACCCCTGGCTCGCATGTACCCCAACTCAGTGGCCAGTCAGGTTGGCTCTTTCTCCCCAGATCCCAGCATGGGGATCCCTGCCAGGGGACAGGAGACTGGCGGCCAGGAGCAGAGCCACCCAACTGACCCTGGGCGCAAAGGCCGAGGCCTGGCTCTATAGCCCGCATCTGCAGCAGGGCCTGGCCTGAGGCTTCCTGTCACCCGAGGTCCTAGGCATCCTGCAGGGTGCTGACAGCTTGGTCCTTGTCCCAGACCTTGGCTGGCACTGGGCGCCCAGCGTGAGCCTCTGAACTTGCCCATCTCATCACCAGAGTGGGCTGCTGGCATGGCCAGGCCAATTATTCTTCACTGTTAATTGTCTGGCGCTGCTCATGGCCGGAAGAGCAGACTCCCCTTGGGCTGGGAAGCTAGGGATGCGTCAGAGTGCCAGGAATCCGGGCCCTGGAGGACACACAGCCAGACCTGCAGGCCCTGCCGGGTATCTGACCTCTGCCAGCCATGTGCTGGGCGCTGCTCCCTATCCTTCCTAGCGTGGTCTGCCCTCACTTTCTGGGGCTTCAAGGATACTGGCTTCTTGCAGAAGAACTCTGCTCCTGTGAGGCTCCAGGGCACGGTGCTGCCTCGTGCTCTCCTTGGGTGCTTGGCACGGAGTCTGCTCTGTTCCTCTGTATCCCACCTGATCTGACTCTGGCAGCAACCCCAGAGGGGCTTGGCTGGGTCCATGGCTCTCTGGGCAGCAGACCATGTTATAGCTCTAGAGTCTGAGGTCACCGGGAACCTTCCTGGACCTTTGGACTCGGCCCCAAGGGCCAGCCGGACTTCACCCTGGCCTGCACTTGATTCTGGCCCTCCCTCCTGCCACCTTGTCATGGGATGGGGCCCAGAGGCCTCCTCTCCAGGATGTGGCTCCAAGGGCCCGAGGTCCTGTCTCCAGCCCCCCAGGACTGCCCTGGTCTGTCGGGACCTCCTGTGGCCCGGCTGGCTGGGAACCACGTGCTCCAAAGGCCAGGCCACCAGGGCCTCCTGCAGAGCCAGCCCAGCTGGACAAGAAGCGCTGAGCAGAAAGATCTTGGTGGATAGGGAGAGGGTGGGGCGGCAGCCCCAGAGCTGGAAGACAGGGCTGGGGAAGGTGTGGAGCCAGGGTCAGGGTCTCAGAGCTCCCGCTGGGCCAAGGGGGTGTCAGCCTCACCCTCAGAAGGAGCTAAAAGATGCTAAGGCTGTAACACAGCACTGAGAATGGGGCAGCTCCAGGGTTCTGACAAAAAACCCCCAAACCTCTAAAGCCCAGAGGCTGCCTCCAGCAGTCTGTTCAGCTATTTATCACATACTCATATTAGTAAGTAAAATGCATTCAGTGTGCAGGGCTAAAGTTTAGTCTGAGAGACAGGAACCTCTCAGGCCCTCCAGAACTTTCTCCTGACCCATCTTCGCACTCTCCCATCTTTGTACTCTCCAAGCACTGCCCAGGCCTGGGAGGATTCCTCCCGAGGTCTGTGTGCATGCACATACACATGCACATGTACACTCTTGCATGTACACACACAAGCACACATGAGCACATGCATGCCCACACATGCACACACACATGTGCACACAGTGAGAGACACCCAGGAACATATGCCCATTTACACATGTACACGTTCTCAGTCACACCCACACACCACATGCACACACACCTGTGCACACACATTCATGCACATACTCTCACAAACATACACACACACACACTTGGAAATACACCTGTGACACACTGACACACACAAAGCACATGGACACTAGGACATACACATGGGGGCACATGCATTCACCTGCTCTCACATCACATGCAGACTCACATACATTCTTATACACACATTCACCCTGCCACATGTGCACACACTCAGGTGCACACTCACCTACACTGAAGCACGCTACTGTACACTCACAGTGCTGTCACACTCACCCCCATTCTAACTCACATGTTCATGCTCGTGGGTACACACACACACACGCACACACACACACTTCCTGCACCTCCACACCCCAGGAGGCACGGGTGGATTTGCACCTAGGGGCTGGCTTCTTGCTGCGTCCCAGCCCTGAGGTGGCCCTGCTTCCCTCTCCACGGCGCCTCAGCTCTCATGGGCTTGGGCACCGGGGTCAGCACGGACCATGTGCCACCTGTGGGGCTGGGCAGTGTCCCAGGCAGGGCACAAGGAAGGTGAGGCCATCCCTGTGGGACACGCTGCCATCCTCCCTTGCTGCCTGGGAACAGCGGGGGCCCAGGGTCCTTACACCCTCAGCTCAACCCTCTGCCTCTGTGCCACCTCAGCTGCCTGTGTGTGGCGGGTGGTCCCGATGGGGTTGCTGCTGTCCTGCTGGCACTGCCACAGCACTCCACGATGAGCCTCAATTCTGGAGCAATTGGGGTGGGGTAGGAAGGCTCAGGTGCTTTCCCTGTCCCTCTCGGGGCACCGCCCCACAGGCCACTTCTGTCCTCAGGTCACTCTCTCCTGGTAAACCACACGGGGCTCCTGCCGCATGCCTCGCTCCTCTTAGGCCAGGGTCTCTCCTCTTCCTCCCTCAGTCTCAGGGCCCGAGTGACCCAGCATACACAGGTGACTCTGCAGCCTTTATCAGCAGCATTTCCTTTTTTTTTTTTTTTTTTTTTCCGTTTGCGGTACTGGGGATTGAACTCACGACCTCGTGCTTGCCAGGCAGGCACTTATGCCACTGAGCTAAATCCCCAGCTGAGCATTTCCTTTCTATAAAGCTTGGGTCAGGATTGCCCAGGGCCTGTAGAGCTCCAACAGCCCCACCCCTTTCACAGGTGCCACCAAGGCAGGAATCAAACACAGGGCAGGATGAGGCCAGGTAGTTTCTCAGAACCTTGAGTGCAGAATTAGCACCCAACCCAGCAACTTCCCTCCTGGATATCCACCCAGACAGATGAAATATCCTCCATCCAAACACTTGAACACAAACACCCACTGTCTGTAGCACTGCCACAATGACTCCAGAGTGGAAACAACGCAGATGTCCAGCTATGAGTGAATGTGACACGAGAAGTGGCCCCTCTCACCATGGACAATACTCAGCCCTGAAAAGGAACGAAGTACCAACCAGTGCTACGACACGAACAAACCTTAGAGCCATTGTGCTGGGTCGGGGGCAACCAGACACAAAAGGTCTAAAACTCTACCCTTCCACTTAGGTATAAGATCTCCAGGATAGGCCAGTCCATGGGGACAGAAAGTTAGTTAGTGATTGCAGGAGCTGGGGAAGGGAACAGGAGTGGCTGTTTAATCTACACAGGGTTTCCCTTTGGGGTGGCGGAACTACTTGGGAATCAGATAGCGTCATGGTGCCACAAAACTGCCCTTCCTGGGGATGGGGTTATAGTTTATATAGATTATGCAAATTAGGTGGGCAGGCGGAGCCTGTGGGTGGGCCCAGATGTGGGCGGGGCTTCAAAAGAGGTTGGAAAATATTGCAGGAGCCCAGTGGCTTTGCAGTTTAAAAAGAAAAGGTGAACCGGTTATGATGGCGCACCCCTATCATCCCGGCACTCGGGAGGCTGAGGCAGGAGGATTGTTGCAAATTCGAGACCAGTCTGGGGTACAAAGTGAGTTCAAGGCCAGCCTGAACTGCATGGCGAGACCTTGCCCCTACTCCCATCCCCACCCACACCCCCCAAAAGAAAGGAAAGGTGGGCTCTTACTTTAGGTCCGTCTGTCTTTCTGTGCTAAGGTGCTGCCTGCTCAGGCCTGGAGCTGGCCCTGCCCTCTCTTCAGGCCAGGCCCGGGTGTCCCTTGCTTCTCTGTTAGCTGGTTTGCTCTTGGCTGGGGGAGCCGAGGCTGCGTCACCTCCCGTTGGGTCTCGTGGGGCTCCATACACTAGGCCGCCACGGCCTTGAGAGGAACAGCAGCAGCAGTGCCGCTGTCTTGTCCCAAACCTTTTAGTGACACCTGGGGCCAGGCCAGCTTGGGCAGCTTTGCCTGGTGGCAGGCCCTCGAAGTTGTCCAGGCTGGGCTCTTCCTACCTCAGCCTCCCAGAGCCCAACATGTACCGCCATGCTCCTCAAGTCTAACTATGAAATCATTCCTGTCAACCCGGCTGTCTTGGGTGCCTGGCTCCCTTCCCAACCCCTCTAGGACCTCTTCCACCCTGGCCCACTGCACGTGCTATGACAATGACCCCTGCTGCCCTGCTGGCCCAGGAATGCTCGGAGGGCGAAGGCCTGTCTGAATGTTCTGTCCTGAGTCCTATGTTCACTATTAGCATTCAGTAGGTGCTCAGTAAACAGCTGTGAATGAATGAAGGCAGGAACTTCTGGGCCCCTCCGTGGACCGCTCAAGGCCAGAGTCAGCAGTGTGGGCCGAGAACGCCCATGCTCTGGAGGGCAGGAGGAGGATGCTGAGCTCACCCTACCTCTGTGGTCTTCCTCCCCCAAGCCGAGAGCTCATGCTAACCATGAAAACACACCACACACGCTCACACTGGGGACCCCACAAAACACCAGCCAGTTCTCCTTGGAACTGCAAGGTCACTGAGGACAGGGAAGGTCTTGGAGAAGCCTGGGGAAGTGTGATGACTAAATGCCATACAGAATCCTGACTGTCCCAGGGACAGAAAAGGACATTAGGAAGTCAGGTCTGGTGAAATCCCTGCACTCAGGGAGGCTGAGACAGGAGGACCAAAAGTTCAAGCTCAGTCTGGGTAATTTAGTGAGATCTTGTTTCAAAATAAACATGAAAGGCTGGGGATATCACTTGGTGGGTTGAATTCCCAATAACCCCTCCAACCCCCACTGAAAAGACACTTAAGATACATCCTATCCCTAAAACACAATTTTAAAACTTCCACGTGAGTGTAGACAGAAGCACAGGACAATCTGGGACACATGAAAAGTGCCGTGTGCACACAGGGTTCCGTGCTGGCATCTGGTTCGGCTGCAGTGGGCAGGATTTGAACTTGGATGATTTATTCTGGACCCTTTGCCCTAAACCTGCTCTCCATCCATATTCCTTTACTTTAGAAAGGATACACATAGAGCCTGACGTGGTGGTGCACACCTGTCATCCAGCCCTCGGGAGGCTGAGGCAGGAGGATTGCTGTGAGTCCAAGGGCAGCCTTGGCTACACATAGTGAAACCCTGTCTCAAAATTTAAAAAAAAGATACGCAGAAAACACTCAGTGCGACTGAATTTTGGCTCCTTTTGGTCCTTGCTTCTGAGTGTTGATTCTCCTCCTCCAGCAGACATTCCCCGTCCTGGCTGGCTCCCGATCCTGGAGCCTGGCAGGGCCAACTCTCCTGGCTCCTTCTCCTTGCAAGGGTGGGTAATGGAGGGGTGGGTGGCCCTGGGATGACAAGGGGGGCAGCAGGAGGTAACTGTCTACTCTCATCTCAGCCCCAGTTCTAAATGCTCACCACGCCAACCTGGCAGCGTCCATACCCTTGGCCTTAGAGTAGGAAGAGGTATCCCAGATCTCTGAGCTGCGAGGGACACCCTCAGAGCCAGCAGCCTGGATCTGATGCTGTCCCCACCCTCTGCACGAGCTCTAGGACCATCTGCTTTGCTTACCACCCCCTCCCCACTCCCCTCCATGCTGGGATTGAACCCAAGGCCTCTGCACTGACTACATCCCTTTTATTTTTTTTTTTTTACACCCTACCCCTTTTCTAGTTTTAATTTTGAGACAGAGTCTTGCTTAGGTGCCCAGGTGGGGCTGGAACCTGTGGTCTTCCTGACTTAGCCTTCTAGAATACTGGGATTATAGGCACACACCACCCTGCCCAGTTTTGCCTCAATTTTAAAATCTGCAAACAAGGCGAAGGATAGTACCTGCCTTGTGGGTCTGGCTGGTGGAATAAATGAGCTAAAAACTGTTTTGTGCTCAGGGAGGGATGGCCTGTGATATTAATTCCAGGGCTAACTGGATAGTTCTATGAGGCCTGGAGCCATTCAGTCTCCCCCCCTTTTTTTTTGAGATAGGGTCTTGCTATGCAGTTCATGCTGGCCTTGAGCTCACTTTGTGCCCAGACTGGTCTTGAATTTGCAACGATCCTCCTGCCTCAGCCTCCTAAGTGCTGGGATGACAGGTGTGCACCACCATGCCCAGTGCAGACCACCTTGGGATTTTAGGGTCTGGGGTATTATCAGACATTCAGTGTTTGCCAAGTGGATGAACAAACCCTGCCTCTCTGGTGGGCCTGCCTCTGGGTGTAGTGACCCTGTTTAAAGATCACACGCAGTAAGACTGTCATCACCATCATCACTGTTAGTAGTAATAACAGCAGCGGCTCGGGCCTCCGAGCTAAGATGGAAGGGTGGACCACTGCAACCTGCTGATTCCCTTGTGACCTAAAAAGTTTACTACCCTGGGCCCTGGCCAGCTTACTTCCTGCTCTGTAACAGGCTCACCTTGGGCAAGCCTCCCATTTCTCTATGTGAGCGCCCTTGAGGATGACGAAGGAAAAAGATGAAAGGCTTTCGGGGACAGGCGAAGAAGACAAGTGGCATCTTGCAAAGGGCCCTGGCTGTCTGAGGCCAGGATGGTGGTCTGGAGCAGGGAGAAGGTGTGGCAGGCCAGCCCTGCCTTCAAGCTCTCCCTTAAGAAAGCTCTGCAGCCCCTAAAACTAAACATGACATTGCTTAGCAGGTGCGTTGCCCACTGGCTGGGCTGGGCTGGGGGACAAATCTCAGCGAAACTAGGGATCCATTTTGCTGAAGATTGCCTGCAGTGAGGGTCACCAAGACCTGTAGGATGAATCTCACTGAACGAGGCTGGGAGAAACATGCCTCTGGTGAACCAAGGTGCCTCCCATCTCCTGGGCCTCGGTCCAAGCACTTCTGCTGCTTAGGACACCCTTCCTGGCCACGCCTGCCTGGTGACTGCACCCCTATGTCACCACTGCTGTGCCTTCCCTGGCACACGCAGAATTTGGTCTGCTGCTCCCCTATCGTAGCCGTGGGACGCCATGGCAATGGCTTGTGTTGGAATCCTGGCTCCTCTGGGTTGTTCGGAGGATTAAATGAGATAATATGCAGATGGCTCTGGGCACAGTGCCGAGCACAGAGCATGGGCTTGAGCAGCGTGTGCTTCTGATGTCAGCTCTCCTGTTGTGCCAGCCAGGGGGGCTCTGGGTTCAGGCAGGGGCTACATTCTATGTTCCTTCGTGCCCAGTGCCTCAGTTCCAGCGAAGGAACAGGGCTTCGACCATCACAGTCAGCACCCATGTTCCACAAGAGGAGCCAGCAGCCTGTGCTCTTCCCTGTCAGCCAGCACCAGCCTGAAAACCTGGATGTGCATCCCTGGCCTAGTCCAACTGGCTAGACTGTGGCTCTGGTCTATCCTGACCCCGCTATGTCAGTGCCAAGTCCCATCCCGGGGGGGCTCCGGAGTCTGCTTCCCATGTGCTGGTAACCATCAGAGTCTCTTCAGCAAGTCAATAGGCCAACCTCTTCCTACATGAAGCAGGACATTCACGAGGGACATCAGGACAAACAGCCACCAGTCCTCAGCTCACCATGCCAGGATGGTCGAAAATCACACACGATACATCTCTTATCCTTCTGGCCCTGGCTCAGGTCAGCTCCCTACAAGACAGCTCAGCCCAAGAGACAATCATTAGCCATCGAGGCCAGCGATGGGGGTGGCCAGGAGTAATGTCACAAGTAGGTGACTGTCCTCCTAGACCCTATCTATAATCCTCTTCCAGATGTCACTAGGATCAGAGCCACACCCGAACCTCATCCCCTCCCCTGCAGTACATAGTACTGTCCTGTGAATTTATCCTCCCATTTCCCAGATGGGGAAACTGAGGCTCAGAGCTGGGATGAGCTTTGTACCAAGGCTGAGCAGAATCTGGGGTTTTATTGGCGGTTTTCTGGGCATGCGTGTAAGAAGGCTCCCAGCATGGAGACCAGGTTGTACTGGGGCTGGCTTGATCTGCACCCCTCTTTACACCCTATAGTCCTAAACCACATCATCTCCCCAGCTTGGGGATCTGCCTTGCCTCATCCCTTGGGCCAGAGCCAAGCTACCTGCAAATCCTTCCACACCACCCAAAGTCGACGGCAGAGGCCCAGGGGAACCCACAGGTGGGACCCCAGACTGACAGCTGTGGGGTAGCAGGAAGATGGGTGAGAAGGGAGCTGATGCGACCAGGAAAGAGGCCAGGGACGTGAGGAACTCAGTCACAGCCTGGCTGGCGGGGAGACAACCAAGCCCAGCGTTCCCTCATGCTCTACACCAGCCAGCCTCCTCAGCACATTCTTCCCTCCTGAAAATATTCCTTAACAAAGAGCTGTGTGCCTCTGGAGGGTCCTGATCCAGCCCAGAAGATCCCAAATGCCAGGCTAGCAGGAAGTTGTTTTGTTTTGGCCCAATGCAGAGGTGGTGGGCGAAAGGGCTCTCAAGTACGCTTGGGGGCCAGCCCCGAGCAGCAGCCTGGATAGCTGTGAACTGTCATCAGAAGCCAGCACATAGACAGGGTCAGCGTGCTGGTCCTACCAGTATGGCCAGGCTTCTGGACTAGGGCCAGGAGCAGTTACAACCTCATCCTTTCCCACAAGGGAAGGTGGCACAGATCAGGGGGTGGCCAGTGGGTCCTGCTGGGATGTTTTGGGGACAGAGAGTGTGTGAGAGGATGACAATTGGAAGAGGACTGGGGTCAGTGCTTGGAGGGGTCCTGGGAGATTTCTGGGGCCCCAACGCCCTCTGGTGCCCAGTGTGGGTGCTGGCTCAAGGAGGCTGGGGTGGAGGGGTGGGCAGTCACCTAATGTCTTCCAAATCTTTGCCTGAGCTGGCACAGCTGTTGGGGCTCTGGGAGGCTCTGGGCTAGTGGGCTAGAATAAGCAGTTCTGTGTGTGTAAGACTGCAAATGCTCGGGTCTTGTCAGTGCTCTTAAGTTTCTGTGTGTGTGTGTGTGTGTGTGTGTGTGTGCCAAGCGTGTGCATGCATGTGTCTCTCATAAAGACGGGTGGGGAGGGCGTGTCAATGGGTGGGAAGGGCAGCTAGTCTCCACCCCTTAGGAGGTCCTGAGCCCAGAGGTGAGGGAAGATTTCTCAGAGAGCTGACATCCAGATGGGTCAAGATGAGCATCCCTGTGGAGAGCTGCCACAGTGTGCTGGGAAGACCCCTAAGAATGATTTTCAGGGGTGCTCTTGGGCCTGGGGACTGGGATGGGAGGTGGGTCAGGCTGAGCCAAGACCTGTGGGGTAGGGGTGGGCACCTCGGTTTTAAGAGGCTAGGCAGGGGTCCTGGGGTTCAGGAGGGATAGGTGGGTTCCTGAGACCAGTCTCCTAGGGGGAAAGGAGGGGGAAAGCAAGCAGGAAGACAGGATGCCAAGTGTGGGGGTATTAGGCGGGCAGTGTTAAGACTCGTGCAGATGGAGGGGTCCTAGAGGATGATTGGGGTGAGTGGTGGGGCAGGGTTCTTGGACTTGGGGGGCGCTCTTGGGGGGGCGGGTCTGCGGTAGTGGGGGATGGGAGAGTCCTAAAAGGGGTCTTGAGGGTCTCTGCGAGGAGAGGGAGGGGGTCCTGGGGCTGCGGGGCCTCCCAGGGAGAGGACAGGGTGGGGGAGGGAGCACTGCGGGGCGCCCCGGGAGGGTCGGGGGGATCAGGGAGGAGGATGGGCGGGGGCCAGGGCCTGAGGGGTCGGGGCCAGGGCTGAGGTGCCGAGGCCTCTCGCGCGGACTCTGGGATGAGATGGTCCGAGTGGCGGTCTTGCCGATTCCCGCGGGCCGCAGCGCCGAGCCGCCAGCCTCAGCAGGCGCCCGTCCGGGAGGCCCGGCCCCTGCCGCCCTACCTGCGCCAAGTGTGCCGCCATCGCCGCGCCGAGCCTCTCTGTCCCGGGCCGCGTCGCCGGAACCTTGCCGCGCCGCTTGCCCCGCAGCCCCGGCCCGGCCCCCTCAGCCGCCCCCCGGGACCGAGGCCGCCGCCGGCTCTGCCGCTGCCATTTCACCCGCTGACAGGAGCCGCTGCCCCGCCCCCGAAGCCCCGTCAGCCAATTCACCGCCCCCAGACACTGTGGCTCCACCCACCATTTAGGAGTGACGGAGTAACTGGCCAATCCGTAGCCATCCCGTGAGGCGGGCCCTGGTTACGGTCAGAAGGTTGCAGCCTCCGAGTAGACAAGCAAATTGAAATGAAGAAAATGATGACGGACGGATCTATTTACCTATCAAAATGAGAAATTCTGTTGATCAACATCTACACAGGCCAATAGAAAGGTATCAGGTTGTGTCTCTGAGGGAAAGATGCGGCCCTAAAGAACCCTGGGCAGAGGCAGCCAAGCGTAGGGCACTAAGCCCCACCCAGGACCGGGCTTTCTGTCCAATAATGAGACTGCTTGAGATGTCCCTTATTAGGGTCCTGGCAACTGTTGCGGTGCTATGAAGATTGACATCTTCCAAGCCAAAGACCTTGTACGAGGGCGGGGAATTGATAACTACTGACCAACGGAGTGCAGTGATTGGCATCCTAGGCGGCGGGGTTTGAGGCCTGGGTTGAATGAAATGGAGGTGTGGCTAGCGGAGGGGCGTGGCCTAGGCCATCGATGGGGCGGGATTAGGGCAGGGACGGGCTCGTGGGTTGAGTCTGGGAAGGGGCGTTGCCAGCACGCGCATTCTCTGTGCAGGTCTTGTGTTGTGGGCGGGGCGGTTGGGTTAGGGAGGAAAGCATGGAGAAGGACTGGGGTCCGCGGCCCTGGTTCTGGCCGGGTACCTTCTGTGAAGATCCCAGGGTGCGGCAGGTTTATCAAAGGATGGATAGCGCTGTGATTACTCTTTACAACCCTTTCCCCATCCTCCCAGTCTGATAACTCCCATTTAGGGTATGGATGGGATTGGGGAAGAAAGGCCCAGGTTAGGTCTCCAATGGATCTCCGCGTGGCCCAGCAGGGGTCTTACACCTGGGAGCTCTTTAAAAATATTTGATAAATGAATGAATGGACTCATGATTCTTTTAATAGGCAGGGAAAGAATGGCAATCACTCTAGTTAAGAGAGGGCTGTGTAGGGGGACAGTCACTGACAGTCGTCAAGATTTAGCAAAATAGACATTCATCTCAAAATGAGGGAGTGGGCTTTGGAGAGGGAGAAGAAAGGACTGTGTCACAGAAGAGAGTGTGACATAAGTTTGGAGCGGAGACTGAATTAAACATAAGGTCTCTAGGATGAGGACTGCCAGGACCTTCAAGGTCTGACATCCTGTGATTGGAGATTCTGTGTGGTCTTTTGAGCTGCAACTGATACCCACACGTGTTGATGGCTTCGGTCCGTCTCTGTAACAACTTCTGTTTCCTTCCTCTTCCTATGCCTTATACACTTATTACAATTCCAGAGCTATTGAGAAAATCCCCAAAACATTTCTAAAAATCCTGGTGGTAAAAATAAATATAATGCATTCCTCCTCCCCTCTCCATTCCTGTATTGCTTTCCCCATTTTTTTTTTTTTTTAAGAACAAATCTGACGTTTTAAAGCCAGTTTATGTGCAAGGTTTCCATCAGAGAGTACTAAGCTAAAGTCAATCTCAATCGCATTGTCCCTTGATTCCTAAGTGGACTTGGGATGTGGCCATGGACTGTCCCAAGGACAGACTGGGTATTAAATCAGGAGGGAAGGAGTGAAGTCAGGTAGGGTGGAGGCCAAATGAGCAGTAAGGGGCAGTCCCTGAGCTGGCTCTCTAGGGTCCCTCTGGTGGGGTCTGAGGAACCATCACAGGGCCCTCAGTGTGGGGTTCACCAGTATTTGAGGTTCTTCCCAGAAATGATGCCCCCAGGAAACAATAGAATATAGGGGAAACAAACTTCCAACCTACTAGATGTCCAGTACAAGCTTGTGTTCTCTAAAATCAAAGAATTAATTTTAGGAACAATGGAGGTTAAGAGCACAATATATTTATTAAAAAAAAGCTTCTGTATGAGAGAAAGACAGAAGGGGTTCTGAGTGGATTGCCCAGGGTCCTGCCTTTTCCACACATTTTTATAGAGCAAAATCATGAGGTGAGACAAGTCCACTGCAGGGCAACTGGGAACTTGAAAGGCAGACAGGGAGGAGGTGGGACAGAGCTATGGTCAACCAATAGGATTATGAGTATATTTGCTCAGGAATGATTAAATGAGGATCCAATAGGGAAGTTAGTCATGTAAGAAGCAGAAATAGGGCCTTTACCTGTGGGAGATTGGGTTAGTGGCTTCTTCTGGTTTCCTCAAGTTGATTGATACCTATTTAGAATATCAATCCCTGATGTTTATACTTAAAAGTATGGTTGCATTTGCTTTGTCTTTTGTCTTAAGATCTGGCGGGCAGCAGAAATGTTTGTCTCCTCCAAGGTTGCAAGGTATCTTCTACACTGGCTCCTTCAAGGGCCCAGCCCTATCTGCCTGCCTAAAATATTTCTATATAACTCAGTTACTTATAGCAAATAGATTGATGAGAGCCAAAAGCCTTCTGGGAACAGAAAACCTGGGACCTCTGGTCTCTCCTGGGATGTGGAGGTGCCTCAGAGACCCAGGAGTCCCAGAAAGACATCCTGTCTGGTTAGATTCTCAGGTCTTGCCCAAAAGAGAAGCAGCAGTAGAACCTGGGAATAAAATTCCACCAAGGAATATACCCAGGACATTTGACCTCCTTCTCACACTATGATGTCCATATAAAAGGTGGTTTTATTCTGTGCTCTCTTTGATTCCATTTTTATAGGTACAAGTGGAAGAAATCTAACAAATTCCTGTAGAAACAGAGCTGTTTCAGTCATAAACTGTACTTAGCTAATTAAATTCCTGCATTGCTTTTTTTTTTTTTTTTTGAGACAAGGTCTCCCTATGCAGTTCAGGCTGGCTTAAGCTGTATTGCTTTTTTTTTCCTTTAAAAAAACTCAATGCAGTATATAGAATTTTTTTGGATTTTTTTCCTTTTATTTTAGTCAATAGAACACCACACCATACCCCCAACTGCTAGACTGAACTCAGATATATAACTTGGATATAACTATATCTAAGTCCTTTTAAACAATTTTCGTTTAGAAATAGTCTTGCTAAGCTCTGCATTTGAACTTGCAATCCTCCTGCTTCAGCCTTAGAGGGTGTTGGAATTATAGGCATGCATGACAATACCCAGAAGAAGTCTTTATTTAATGTAGCAGGGTCTGTTACATTGCTCAGGCTTGACCTTGGACTCCAGGGAGTTCAAAGCCTCAACTACCAGAGCAGCTGGACAGAAGGTGCATCCACTATGCCTGGCTCATGTCTAGGAGTCATTCTTATCAGAAGTATTTTCCTTCATGCAATATTTACAGTAAATATTAGATGTATTCATTAAATGTAAAGATGGAATACTTATGTTTTATTAAGCCCTTGTTATGGTTGGTGTTTGTGTATCCCCTTAAAGCCTCACATTGTCATGGGAGCAGGCTTCTGGAGTTTGTGACTGATTCATGATCCAATGCTGGGATTGTGAATGTGTATCTTACACCCACCCTAGGGTGGGATACCATATAAGGACAGGAAGAGGCTTCTGTTGGCCTCCCTTTTTTCTCTTGTTGTTTTTGCTGTCTTTCTCCATGATGAATGGTTGCCCTGGTACTACACCACCCTGCTTTGGAGTCAGTTGATTATGGACTGAAACCTCCACAAACTGTGAGCTAAATAAACTTTCCCTTCCTTAATTTTGGGTGTTGGGTATTTTGTCTCAGCAATGAGAGAAAAGTAAGACAGAATTAGGTACTAGAGAAGTGGGGTCATTGCTGTGACTATATTTGACCATGTAGTGCAAGAGCCTTTGCGAATGGCTTGTGGGGAGAGTTTGGAAAGATTTGGAGATATTGCCTGAAAGAGTAGCACTGGAATGCTTTAGGCTGTTCTGTATGGGAGGTTCTGGTCAGAGCTCAGAAGACCAAAATGTTGATAGAAATCCTGCTGGTAAACATCAGGTTTCTGCTGGGAAGAAGGACCATATTGGCTGTTAGAATTTAGACAGTGTGTGTTATGGCTCGGAAGAAAGTTTGTCTGCATTTTGCTCATGGCCAGAGATTTTTCCAGCACTGAGATTAAGGCTAGTGGACTAATTAACCCAGCAAAAAGATTTTTCAATGCAGTCTAATGTTGAGGTTATGGCATAGCTATTGTTGGGGGCTTTTAGCCAGGTTTATGTTAAGAATCAAGAGCAAAGAGCCAAATATAATAATTTAAAATTTTGTGAGTTTGGCCACAAAGGAAACTCCAGTAAAGCTGCAGACTGCAAAGGTAGAGCAGAGGAAATCTTGATTGCTGAAAAAGAACACAAGAATTGGAAAGATGGTCTGAGGGCATCACAAGAAGCAACAGGGCTCTACCCTTTGTAGCCTCAAAACTGCAAAAGTGAAAGACTTTGAGGAGAAAGCCACAGAGCACCAAGTTCCAAAATGATGGTGGCATAGAGAATTTGTTCCTCAGAATCAGATTCAGAGTGCTTTGCAATCCAGGCACTTAACCCCAACAGCCAAGAGAGAAAGAAAGCCTCCCTACTCCTCCAGCTGGTAGCAGATCTTGGCATCATCCACATGGTGCTAATTTTAGGTGCAGAACACAAGAGTTCTGAGGTTAAGTGGCTTCCACTAGATTTCAGAAGGCCTGGGAGGCCAAGCAATGTGCCCCTAGAGGGCAATGTGTGAAGCTATGAATGTGAGGCCAAAGGTGCAGTGGAAAACTCAAGTTTGGAAAAGCCAGGAACATGAATCCTCTAAGGAAAGCTGCAAGGAGCAAGCAATGTGGGCCTAAGAGAGAAGCCATAGGAGTTACAACCTTCAGAAGTGATGTAGGGACAGAGTTATGTAAACCCTTTGGAGCTCACAAATTACCACAGATTGCTTCAGCTGTTCCACATGGAACTATAAGACTTAGTATTTGCCCTGATGGATTTTGGACTTGCTTTGGTCCCAATCCTTTGTAACCTCCTGCTTGTGCCTTTTGGAATGGTAATGTTTATCTTGTGCTATTGAATGTTGAAAGTGTTTAA